GATCGATTTTTATGAAATTTTATATGCATATTCAGTTGGTCTGAGAATCGGATGCTATCTATTTTTCATACCCCTAAGTGGTAAGGGATATCCACCCCTAAAAATATATTTTTTATTTTATCGACATATTTTACTTGAAAAATACATACAACCCTAAATAATCACCCTTGTAGCGTCAACCCCTATTTTTTAATAGCGATTTTAATTTATATGGCAAAACAACGTTTGCTGGTACAGCTAGTATATCTATACATATAAATAAAATTGGAGTGTCTGTTTGTAATATTGAAATAACCGTTTTTTACTACATGCATAAAAAACGGTTATAAATATTACAAACAGACATCAAAATAATTTTTTATTTTTGTCTGTAAATGTTATTTAGTATGTAGGTAGTGAGTATATTATTATTAAATTTCTCGCCATAATTCTTGAATCTATCTATCTATAGAACAAACAGACAGACAGACAGACAAAAATTCTATACTATTTATTGTACGTTAAAAAACGTTATCTCTACTAATATTATATATGTGAGATATTTGATGTATGAACATAGAATCATCATTTTATTTGAAAACAAAATACATTTTATTTAAAAAAAATCATTCGATAGAAGCCGCAAGTAAAAGCTAGTAGTATATATATTAAGTTTATTTGGTAGCACATGATACTTAAAAAAAAACATGCGAGCGAAGCCGTGGTTAAAAGCTAGTAGTATATAAGTTTATATGAGTGACTTATTAGTAACGCGTACATTCGACGTGGAGTCGGCACGTGCACTGACTTTACACTGAACTTAAATCTGTTATCTGGAGAGGTACTAATGGACGGGTCCCGAGTGATGACAGAAATATTACAAGTGTAGGCAGAATAGCAAAATTTGTAGTTAATAATTTCCATACAATTTAGCCTATGAAGATTTGGATATAGGCTGATGGCGGATGGTTACTACTGACATAGAGAAGTTATGGAAAGGGTAAGAGTTATAAAAAACAACAGTACACTCAAAAGTTTAAAACAAATTTATTAACCATGTTATATCTTATATTATAATATTGTCTTAGGGAATAACACGGTGTGATACAGAAGCATTTGAATATAATACAAATATATATATGTATATACATATAAAAACAATTTTATGTGTTGACATCAGAGTTGATATACAATATTTCATCTTTCCATTTCTAAGATACCCTCAAAAGACATAGGTACACGAAAAAAAAAACACTATACCAAACCGCCTGGCCAGCATGGCAAGTATAGATTAACATAGTCTTATATTTTGACACTTTACTTTTTAATAAAGTACTGCTATGAAAAGTAGATTAATCTCGTCATATTACATTTGACAAACGAGCTTGCGGCTCACCTGATGGTAAGTGATTACCGACGCATATGAGCACTCAATACCAGAGGAATTGCAAGTGCGTTTTCTTGAAGGTTTCAATATCGTATCGGTTCGGAAATACCATTGCTGGAAGGTGATAAAATATCATGTTCATCTTATCATCCTCCACTGGTGCCCCGCCAGTGTATATAACCTGCCCGTTAGCGCAAGCGGATGCATTCCATTAACATCCATTACAAAGACGGACTATATCAGTCTATATCGAATCGCTTTGCGATTTAGCAGAACGAATAATTCAAGCACCTTAAACTATCAAAAAGGGCAACAGCTGTTATACTTAAAAGGACACTTGTTATACATAAAAGGACAAACAGCTGTTATACTTACAAGGACAGCTGTTATATATAAAAGGACAGCCGTTATACACAAAAGAGCAAACAGCTGTTATACTTAAAAGGACAGCTGTTATACATAAAAGGACAAACAGCGGTTATACACAAAAGGACAAACAGCTGTTATACATAAAAGGACAAACAGCTGTTATACATAATAGGACAAACAGCTGTTATACATAAAAGGACAGCTGTCATCTTTAAAAGGACAGCTATCATATATAAAGGGACAGCTATTATACACAAAAGGTCAAACAGCTGTTTGTCCAATAGGACAAACTGGTGGTTTATACATATATATATTTAACAGCTGTTATAAACAAAATACTGTTAAATTTTTTTTTGCATTACAAATATAAAAACAACACTTACAAACTAAGCAGAAGTTAAAATTAACAATTTTAAGGAATCACAGTTTAAATATATATTTTGTCTTAGCCTTTATTTTTTTTTAAACCTATAAATAAATAAATAACCCTGGACAATTCATTAACACAGCGCCATCTAGTCCCGCGGTAAGCAGATCTTGTGTTATGGGTACTAGACAACTGATATAAATACTTAGACTTTTTTTTGTAAATTCATACGTTACATATATAGAGAACAGATAAGATCAGCAGAACTAAAACTGAATACCTATTCTGCGATTTCGGCGGTCTCTCCAGTTTCAAGCCTATCTATCTAAACGGTGTAATGCTTCCGGTATGCTCCGATTTTCGATCGGTTACATTATATATATTTACATAGACTCGATGTAACAAAATACTGTTGGATGAAATTTTTTTTCTCGCGATTACAAATATAAAAACAAAGGGTTACAATAAATCTATCATAAGACCTGTCATTTTGTATGGATCTGAATGTTGGGCCGTAAGGAATCACAAAGTTGCATAAATATATATTTTCTCTTGGATGTGTGGGGTTAAACCTTTAAATAGAATAAATAATATACGAGGAAGTTTGAAAGTTGCGCCGGTTATACAAAAGCGCCATAACAGATTGAGCTGGTAAGGGCATGTTATGCTTGTGTTTATGGAAAGTGTATAATATGAATGTGGATGATATAAATACTTAGATTTTTGTGTGAAATTCATGAATAAATATATAGTTTAGAATGACGATTGATAGAGATAAAGAGAAGACATACTCATGAATAAAGGCAAGGCAATGATGACATATATAGAGAACACCCAGGCCGATAAAAACAGTCATACTCATGAATACAAATGTTTGCACCATGCGAGGAATCGAAGCCGCGACCATAAGAAGTAAAGCGGTGTGTTTGTATTGTGGGGTTGTTTGTATTGTGGGGTTACCCATTGCTATTAATGTACTGTGTCAGGTTGACCTTCACGCAGTTCCCCTGGAGACCATCTTGGTAAATTGCCATTTACCAAGATGCGATTTACCAACTGACTTCTTGCTCATTTTATCATCCTCCACTGGTGCCCCGCCAGCGTAGTCCGTTAGCGCAGGCCCCGCCTGTACCATTCCATTATGTTTCTTTCCGGACTACTCTAATCCTGTTTTTTATGTGGCCTTTACAGCTTCACCTCAAAGGGAGCGAGTGCAGATGGCACTCCAAACCAAAGGAAGGACTGATGGAGCGGCTGAAGGCCAATTCCCGTCTGAAGGCTTGGGGTTCGAACATCAGCTCAGGCCGTCGTAATTTCGATCCCCGTTCGAATCGGGGATCGATCGGACGGGATTCCATTATCATCCATAAAAAAGTACGTATTAATTTTAATAATAATAATAATAATAATCTCAGGAAAATTCACACAGCGCCATCTAGACCCAAATTAAGCTAGCTAAAGCTTGTGTTATCGGTACTAGACAACTGATACAAATACATAGATATTTTTTTTTTTCGTAAATACATACATATTATACATAGAAAATACCCAGACCGATACAAACAATCATACTCATGAATACAAATGTTTGTGCCGTGCGAGGAATCGAACCCGCGACCATCGGACGTAAAGCGGTGTGCTAGACCGCTAGACCACCGAGGTCGTCGATTTTAAGCGTTTAAACATAGCCTTACACGGGTGCACAGTGCATGTAAAAGATCGTATATATAATATTAATAATCCAGGATAATACACTCAGCGCCATCTAGTCCCAAACTACAACACATATCGTATTGTAGAATATAACTGCGGCAGAACAGTGAGGCTCTGCCAAAAACACCTTTCCTTTCGAATCAAACTCCCTGAATAGTAAAAACGTGTAAAATAACCGGTTATTTCAAGAGTTTTCCGTATTATTCCGATTATCATACAGCTCTATTTGATTTCATTGCTGTTAAAAATCATATCACAACAGTACATAAGTAATTTGAATTTCATTCAAAGATTTTTGGGTTAAATTGATATAGTATTTGATATAAGTACATATATTTCGATACCACAATTGATAAACAACTTTAAACATACCATACTTTCACTTAAAGTTCAATTTTCTTTGACACGTATATTAATAAAATATTTATAATAGTCCTTAGAAATAGGTATATAATTTTGTGACTAAATTTAATTTTAATTTACACCTTAAATATATGATTTTAAAGTTCAAAATTCATTACACTTCATATTGTACATTTTATACGTGATACAAAATATAGAAAAATATACGATACTATAATTAAAAATTATAGACATTTTGATCTTTATTCCATTTAACATATGGTACATAATAGTTCAACTTTGCTGTAACAGACTTTATAGTAGAAATATCACATGCAGATAGGCATCTGCAAATTTATACAGAAGGCAAGCACTATAAAAGAACAAGAATTGGTATATAACACTAAAATAGTAATAAAGATAGTAGAAGAGAAAATAGATAAGAGAAAGAAAAAAGAAACAAAAGAAAAGTCGAAAGCAGTCCAGCAACTTATTAATGAAATTAAAACTCTCGTATCACAAAATAAAATAACAAGCATGTGTTAGGGGCATCCATAAATTGCGTGAGATGTTTAAGGGGGGGAGGGGGTCGAGTCAAATCTCATCTAATCTTACGTTGAAGAGAAGGGGGTCTCGGCAAATATCACGCAATTTTTTTTCTGATTGAAACATAAAAAAATTTACTATTTTGGTCCATTTAATCCAGATTGTACATGCTTATTACACTTATAACTCTCAGCAATATTGATTACTAGTCTTAACTAGTCGTAAATAAAAGCACGAGGCAATTTTTTTGTTCTTTTTACAATAACAATTAAACGCGTTTACGTGAGAAATCCATATTTTGAAAAATCTCACGTGATATTGGGGGATGGGGTAGGGGGTTGAATAAAATCTCGCGTCATCTCACCAGGGGGGGAGGGAGGGATAGGAAATTCTAAAAACATCTTACGTAATTTATGGACCCCTTGGCATGATATAAATTCATACATAAGTATAGAAACAGTAAAACATTCAGGTGCATTTTGTATCTTAAGCGTATGTACACAAAGTATATTAGAGCATCGTCGACCTTACGATCTATACAATAGAGTTCATAATATATTCTTATCTATACCGGTCATGTCCAAACTGTCATCAGTATCGTATTGTTCCTCGTGGAAGTTCTCCACAGGTTCCTGGTCTTCTTGGAGGGCCCTGGTGAGTATCCTTTCGAGTTTGGGCTGGACGTCACCGAGTAACGCCCGCTGCGTGGGTTCAGAAGCCCAGCAGGACTCCATGATATTCCAACATTCGTCTGTGAAGTGGGGTAACCGTTCGGGACGAAGACCTGTTGAAGACAATTGTGTGAATGGTATACCACTGCCGAATTGATGGGGTGATGGTGAATGACAACCAGCCATCGGAGTAGGTAGAGCTATTTTATGTACTTGCCATATGATAGAATAATATGGATAATTCCAGTGGTGCAGAAAGAGACAAAGAAAGATGTGTCACTCTACTCACACCCGTGACACTACCTGTACGTGTGAGCAAGAGCGCATTATAATTTTATTATTTTAGGCAGCTAGGCTCCTTATAAATACTTTATAGACTAACATACATATGAAATAATATTTTAATATCAATATATTGATATTGTCTGTGTGGTCACGGTACTGATGACGCCAATCTGCCACGGTAGCGCCGATACACCACACCGTTCGGCCAGTAGTCCTCCTTCATGAAGATGAGCAGCATGTTGGTGGGGACCCGGGCCATAAATGCCTTAAAACTCGAATCCAGCTGCGTCACCACAATGTCAGGTTACTTTTGGTTCGTATATAATCGACAATATCCTGCTCCTTAGAGGCTTTAAGCAGCGATATCACGACGAGTGTCAAAAGAGCGGTGAAGTCGCTCGTTGATCCATATAACATCAATAGCTCTACCTACTAAGATTAGTAGTGATAACAGTCTATAAAGGGATTATAAGTAATGTGGGGTGATGATCTCGTTGTCCAGTCACGTTGTCCTCTACGCAGTTCACTCTGAAAACCATCGTGATAAATTCCTGGTAAGCCAGGATAGGCTAACTGACCTGACCTCACGCTCATCCTATTATCCTCCTGATGCCCCAGCAGCGTATATCTTTAGCGCATGTTTATCATTCCATTAACATCCATAAAAAGGAAGGAGTAACTAGGAAGGAAGTAGTACTACTAAGGAAGGAGTACTACCAATCCTCTTTCCCCCCCTCCCTCCGTAAGGGGCAAGGGGGGAGAAAGAGGATTGGTAGTAATAACGCCATTGCGCGGGCAATGTCAGGTACCAGGTCAGGATGCCTTCCCGTGATTCCCCCTGGAAACCATAGTGATAAATTCCTAGTGAATTTGTCACGATGTGCTAACTTAACCTGACCTCATCTTATCATCCTCCACTGGTGCCCCGGCAGCGTAGATCACTAGCGCAGGCAGGTACACTAGGGCATTCATTAAAAAATCCGTCGTCGACATGAACTACGGACATCACGTTATCATGTGGCGTCACATGATCCTCATCATGATCACATAGTCCTCCTTCTTGAAGGTGGGCAGCATGTTGGTGGGGACCCGGGCCACAAACGCCTTATAAATCACTAGCGCAGGCGGGTGCACTAGGGCATTCATTAAAAAAATAATATAGTGCAAAATGATTATAAGTATTAAAAATATACCTCGTTTCACTTTGGACCAGAGCTGTTCCTTGTTCTGGAACATTTCGAAGGCTGTAGGTAGCGTTATGTTGCCTGCGCACACGTACCTGTAACAAGCATTGTACAAAATTCAAAATTCAAAAATTCTTTATTCAGATAACACAATTTTACAATTACATTCTACAGTTGTTGAAGACTCCTTTTAAGCCATCTCTGATCGATCCCCCGTCCAATTCAAACGTGGATCGATATTACGACGGCCTGAGCCGAGGTTCGAACCCCTAGTGGTGACCTCAGACTAAAGTCGTATCCGTCAGGCAGGAGTTGGCCTTCAGCCGCTCCATAAGTCCTTCCGCGGGTTTGGAGTGCCATCTGCACTCGCCCCCTAACGTCCGGTGAAGCTGTAAAGGCCAGCTGCGGCCAACAGCATTAGAGTAGTCAGAAAAAAAAAAATCCTTTTAAGCATGAAGATGCCTTTGCAACGAGGCTCCACTCTTCCAAAGCTTACATCAAACATTTGTAAAATGTTTCTAGTTTATTATACTATAATTAGTTAAAAGGTGACTGATATAGATAAACTTACATCAAACATTTGTAAAATGTAAGCACATTCTAGTTTATAATTATAATTGCACTATAATTAGTTAAAAGGTGACTGACGTCGTGATCTATCAACGCACAGCCCAAACCACTCGATGGATCGGGCTGAAATTTGGCATGCAGGTAGATGTTATGACGTAGGCATCCGCTAAGAAAGGATTTTGATCAATTCTACCTCCAAGAGGATAAAATAGGGGATGAAAGTTTGTATGAAAATTCGTCAATTTTAAACCGATCGGAGACTTTGCTTGCATAAAGCTACTATAACGTAGGCTAAGAACGGATTTTGATAAATTCCACCCCTAAAGGTAGTTAGTTATATAATTCAATTTTAATATACATACATTATAGGAATATATACATATGTGTGTTTGTGTGTGTGTCATCACTAGATAGTATAAAACAAAGTCTCTGTCGCCGTCTGTCCGTCCCTATGTATGCTTAAATCTTTAAAACTACGCAACGGATTTTGAAGCGGTTTTTTTTAATAGATAAAGTGATTCAAGGGGAAGGTTTATATGGAATTACATGTTCACCCGGGCAAAGCCGGGGCGAGTAGCTAGTATATATAACTTTCACATCTATATTAAATCATGGATGAACTTAGGTCCTCAGGCTCAGCAAAAGAATAGTATAGAAAATCCTGTATTCAAATAAACTTAATTTAAGCATTATTGAATAGTCATCACAATTTTTTTAATCTACCTCCTTTGGAAAGCTGTGTGAGAAGAAGAATGAGAAAGAAACTTGCGTGTTGCTATTTTAAATAATCGTTGTAAGTTTTCATTTTTAAGTCGAAACGTGTGAATACAAACTACCAACCAGCACTAATTTATTTGGGTCAAATATAAATATACAATAAGATTAAATCAGTCTTAGTGATTAGAGTAGAACAATTCATACAAGCCCGTTACCGAGTATGACGTAGCCAGCTATCACTGCGCTCAACCATATTTTAGGGAGTCCAATGACTCGAACCTATATCTACAGGTGTTGACTTATTTAAATGAGATATCCAATTTTAAATTAACCTGTATGGACTTGTTACATATAACGAGTAGTTCCTCTATTTGGGATACCTCGTCATCAGAACCCATATTGGGCATGGTGTAGGCAAGAAATAATAGTCTTATTGCAAAATATAATCGTCTATTCACTCACTCCCAATAACAAAATAATAAAATCACTAACAATCAGCCAGATGACAACGGATTATTCAGGGAAACGCGGCAAGTTCGGTACAGAGTGCAGCACAACCTCTCACGCTCGCGCCCAATTCAAAAGTGCCGTTTCGTAATTGCTGTCAAAACTGCTTTACCCTGTACCGACCTCACCCAAGCCGCTTGACGTTTCCAACAACGATAATAGATGGCGCTATTCTAGTAGAAATTAATCAATTGAGCCTCGTTGTTGATTCTGCGACATATATAATTCCAGCTATATAAAGAAAACTTACCAAAATAATATTCCAAAGGCGTATACATCAACAGAAGCGTCATACTCGCCGGCTAACAACTCCGGTGCCATATGCACTGGTGTGCCGACCACCGACCCTGATATGAGAGCTTCTGCTGCACAGAATCCAAGATCTGATAACGCAGCCCGATCCTCGTTGTCCAGAAGTACGTTCTTCATTTTGATATCCCGGTGCACCAGCCCCAGGGAATGGAGGTAACGGATACCTGATAAAAAAATCTAATCTAAGAATATAAATGCGAAAGTAACTCTGTCTGTCTATCTGTTTCGCTTTCACATCAAGACTACGGAGCCGATTTAAATGAAATTTGATACACAGATAGTCTAGACCCTGAGAAAGGGCATAGTCTACTTCTTAATGCGAAAAAGAGTTGAAAGGGGTTGAAAGGGGTTGAAATGGGGATGAAACGTTGTATGGAAGTATTGTCATGTTTAAAACTAGTAAATAATATAATAATAACTAGCAGACCCGGCCACAGGTTGCTGTAGCTAAGGTTCTTGAATAAATCTTTACATACATTTTCATACCTATTTGTGAAATGGTCTTAATTTTAACGTTTTATTTTCTTTAGTAATATTTACGTACGCTCTCTCGTGTGTGGTGGCCCCACTGAAAATCAGCGCTGTGGTATATGTATACTGCAGTATAAATGCTGAGTGGGAGTCACATTCAGCGTTACTAGTTTTAGCTTCTAGCTTTTAAGTTGTATAGTATATAAGATAAATAGCATCTAAGAATACTGTAATGCTGAATAAATGTCTTTATTATTATTTAAAATAATATTACGACTAAAAATTGAGATGTTAGCTATCCTATCTTTCAAGTTGGATCAAATTGCACACAATGTGCAAATCAAATTTGCAATCGTTTCAGTAGTTTAGGAGTCCATCGCGGACAAACAACATGTGACATGTAATTTTTATATATATAGATATTCCTGGACTACTTTACACTGTAGAAGAGACTAGACTAGAAAATACCAGGAGCAATGTAAATATATAATACTAGCTGTGGCCACGACTTCGTCCGCGTGGAAGGTAACTATACCTTCGATATTTTTATATATTTAGGGTAATTATTTTATAACGCATGACATCGTTCTAGCATCAAAAATTACAAATTTCAGTACAACCTTTCATACCCTATTTAATTTAGGGGCTAAAATAAAATACGGTATGAAAGGTGTAAGGGTAATTTTTTACAAATTTTGAATATCATATTTAATCAACAGCCTAAAATATTAGTTTCAAGCAACTACTTCTATACAACTCGTGATCTCCCGTTTCAACCCATTTTCGCATTAAAAAGTAATCTGTAATATGGTCTTTCTCAGGGTCTAGACCAGTGTATCCCAAAGTTTTTATGCCATGTCCCACATTAGTCTTTCTAAACTTCTACGCAAACTATGAAGGGCATACATGTAATCAGTATGTAGGGCGGTCAGTGTCTGTGCTTACCTTCAACGATGTCACAGGCGATTCTCATGCGCGCTGCGAACGACAGCCCAGCTCGTACAGCAGCGTGGAGGTCACGTGTCTGTGAACAGTACAGTAATTACAGATTAGCAAGAACAGACAGACAGACACAAAATGTCTAGACAGTTTTTTTTGTCTAACAGACTAAATGTCTTTAATTTTTTTTTTGTATCTGCAGTCTGGCCGTTTGATGTTTGCGTTTCTAACAGGTCCAGGGCATCGACCAATCAACTGTTTGTTTTTGTAGTGATGTGATGTGACCAAATAACCTTGAACCAGCGCCGTTTGATGTGGTTTGACTTTTAAAAAATATTGTTTTTATATTTGTTAAGCAGTTATAGGTAATAATTCTAGTCCAAAATTAATAAGTTTCTTGTAAGTTGGAATAAATATTAAAGTTTTAATATTATCACTCGTTAGTAAGGCAAAAAAAAGATATTTAAAATTTTGCCGTAAATTGTACGTCAATACAAAGTTACATCGCCCTTTCAGTACCGACCTGTCAGAAATGCTAACTCTGGGCGGCCGGACTGTACTTTTACTTTCGAATGAGTGGTAGAATAAAAAAAACTATCTCTATTCATACAATACAAAAGTTCTTGAATTGAGTTTCTTTGAATAAAGATTAAACTCTATTTCTACTTTTATACCACGATGGTAGTAATCAAGTATACAGCCCGTCTTGTTGTAAATGTTTAGACATACGTATATTAAATAACTAGCTTTTGTCCGCGGCTTCGCTCGCGTTAATTTATCCCCTTAGGGGTGGAATTTATCAAAATCCTTTTTTAGGGGATGCCTACGTCATAGTAGCTTTATGCATGCAAAGTCTCAGTCCGATCGGTTTAAAATTGACAAAGTTTCATATAAACTTTCATCCCCTATTTTATCCCTTTGGGGGTAGAATTAATAAAAATTCCTTATTAGCGGATGCCTACGTCATAACATCTGACTGTCCAGTGGTTTGGGCTGTGCGTTGATAGATCACTACGTCAGTCACCTTTGAGTTATATATATTTAGATGATTTTTTTTTTGTAGTAAATACCTTCCGTTCGGAGACAAGTAGCACTGCGGGTGCTGCGCCCCCGCGCTGCAGCACAGACCCTAGGAGACGCACGATGCGAGGGTGCGCAGGGATGCTCCTAGAATTCAAAGCAATTATAATTATAACAAAGACTGAACAAGACTCTATGTGCTTACACTTACGATACGACTGGTCCACCAACTCAAAGTACCTCTCCGAGCTATGGAAAGATCTATGCTTGGAGTTCATCTGAGAGACCAAATCTGAAAGAATGTAATTCGCCACCGAACTAAGGTCACATAGCTCTTCGTATTTGCAAGTTGAAGTGGCAGTGGGCTGGTCATATCTGTCGCAGAATCGATGCTCGTTGAAGTAGACGTATTCTAGAATGGAGATCACGAATTGGCAAATATAGTGTAGGACGCCCAGCAGATAGGTAGAGCAACGACGTTTGTAGGGTTGCGGGTAGTAACTGGAAGAGAAGGGCTGAAGATCGTGCCCAGTGGTGTGCCTTGGGAGAGGCCTATGTCCAGCAGTGGACTGCAGTGGGCTGATAATGATGTGCTAATATGTCTCGGTGCTAACTCCTCCATGTGCCGTAGTTAACGGCCTCGGTAGTCTAGCAGTTTAGCATCGCCTTACTTCCAATAGTCGCGGGTTCGATTCCTTTTATTTTAAATACAATTTTCCACAGACATATTCGTCCGTGCCTTTTTTAATTTACTTTAATATTATTATATTTCTTTAATTTCCACCTTTGTACAACTCCAGAGGAGCCTCCAGCCGAGATGTTACAATTTGGCTTACAGTGACACCGAGGCAGACCTTATCCGTCTGGCCCAGAACCACCGCTGGCCGGCCGGGTGGGTTGACAACATGCAGTGTCACCTATTTTTATTAGGAGCCAGGTTCGAATCCTTGCACGGCACAAACATTTGTATTCATGAGTATGTTTGTATCGATCTGGGTATTTACTATGTAAAATATTTAGATGGAAATTACGACGGTCTGAGGGGAGGTTCAAGCCCTTAGCGGTGCCCTCAAATTAAAGTCGTAACGGTCTAGCAGAAGTTGGCCTTCAGCTGTTCCATAAGTCCTTCCGCAGGTTTGGAGTGTCATCTGCACTCGCACTCTATCATCCGGTGAAGCTGGACAGCTGCGGCCAACAGCATTAGAGTAGTCCGAGAAGAAAAACGTACAAAGTTGCCAGCTGTGGACCAAAAATCCACTCTTCTCCAGCAGATCCGGTCAAATCTTATAGAAAAACTGACCTGGTATAGAAGAACTCCATGGCGAGGTCCTGGTAGTGTCGCTCGTCTGCCGGCAGCACCGACTTGACGGCGGCTGGTGAGTGACCTCCCCACCCGCCGCGGGCCGCGTACACCACGCCGTACTGACCACGTCCTGACACGCCGACAAACACACTATTACTTATACAAACAAGAATACCATAACAATAACCTCCCCCGCTGATCGATCCCTTTGTCCAATTCAAACGGGGATCGAAATTACGACGGTCTGAGCCGAGATTCGAACCCCTAGCCGTTTCCTCAGAGTTGTATCTGTCAGGCGGGAGGTGGCCTTCAGCCGCTCCATATGCCTTTCCTTTGGTTTGGAGTGCCTATGCTTTGAAAATTGCGTATTAATCCTTTAAATAATTGTTGTAACTTACATTTTTGACGACCTCGGTGGTCTAGCGGCCAAGTACACCGCTTTACGACCGATGGTCGCGGGTTCGATTCCTCGCACGGCACAAACATTTGTATTCATGAGTATGATTGTTTGTATCGGTCTGGGTGTTTTCTGTGTATGTGTTTACAAAAAAAACATCTATGTATTTGTATCAGTTATCTATAAATAATTGTTGATAATTGTCCTGAGACTTATTATTATTTTTAAGATAAAATGTGTGAATACAAACTATCAACTAACACTAACTCATTAGAGTCAAATTATTAAATACACAGTGAAATTAAATTAGTCATGATATAATAGAGCAGACAAGTAGCATTCGTTCACGAGTATGACGGACTGATAATGACTAATTAGTTAACTGAACATACCGATCTCTCTCCCCAGTTCCGGTGTCCCGTACATAAGTAGATCCCGCATAGATGTACTCTCGAGGCACAGGCGTGCAAAAGAGGGGGCGTATCTGCAACACGTATGTATAATATTTTTTACTGGCAATAACAAAAGAAATTTCTTACTTATGTATATTACAAACGCGAATGTTTGTGAGTATGGATGGATGGATGGGTGGATGTTACTCTTTCATCTGAATGGATTTTAATGAAACTTTATAGTAATATAGCTTATTACTTACTATACATCAGAATAACAAATAGCCCATTATTTAAAAAGATATTACGTAAATTGGGCGTAATATAATCATAAATGTCAAGTAAAGTCAAGTGTCATACAGACGAAGTTGCGTGGGTTAACTAATAAAAAATAAATTTTAAAGAAAGTGTTATATATTTGTATGAACAGGGATATAAGAAATAGAAATAGAAATAATCTTTATTCAAATAAACTCATTATAAAATCATAAAACCACTCATTCGGAATGCAGATTCATCACAAGAAGAATGAGCAAGAAACTTGTGTGTTGCTCTTTTTAATAGATGTTTTTTTATATAAATAATTACAGTATAACAAGTAAGAGGCATGCGATAATCAACATAGAAGTCGCTAAGCACTAATTATTAATGTAATCAGATAATATTGTCAGTGGTAGATAGTGATAAGGGCAGAGGAAGGCGATGGATGGACTGTTGAAAGATGATATGGCAAGAAAGGGAGTAAATAACGAGATGACAGCGAATAGGGATTAATGGAAGAGAAACATATTACGCCGACTACAAATGAATGGGATAAAGAAGCAGATAATGATTATAGAAAATAAATTACTTTTTCCTTATTGCTAATTTGATAACTTCCGTATGCTTCAATCGGCTTTCCAGCGCCGCTTCAAGCGATGACAGCGCTGATTGGTACTTCTCGTGCGCTAGTGTCAGTCTTTCTAGAATCTGAAAATTATTTTTATACTTTAGAACTATTTATGAACATACAATTAGAAAAAATCACGGGATCTTACAACGTTTAATTTATTTTCATTGAGTTCCCGATATTTCGGGAGTGTTTCAAACGCCATGATCACGGGTAAATTGAAAAGCAACAGGTAGATCATAAATAATATATTTTATGGGCAGATGTATTTGTCTACCTTTACACGTCGAAAATATGCACCAGGGTACCCTTATATTTCCGACGACTAGACATCAATTATCAACAAAAAGAGTTACGGGCCTAAAATCGATCCCTGATGTAAGCCTACAGCCACTCTGAACTCGCTGGTGTCTCCAGCATGGTGTCTCCGACTGAGCATGAGTACGAGGTTGACTGTACATAGCACGAATTAACTCCACATATTTCACTGGCACTCTATCTTTCAGGGCCCACCACAAAACAGTAAGGAGTACTTTATCGTAAGCCTTTTCCAGGTCTACAAACACCATGTACAAGTTCTTATGAGTCTATACTTTTCCCATAGCTAGCGCATATATTACTTCGGGCTGGCATAAATTCAAACTGGTTTTTGGTGATCTCAGTATCTTCACGCAATCTCGTCTCTATCAATTTCTCCCATACTTTCATGAGGCATAAGCTTTATTCCCCAATAACTTTTGCAATCCTATACATCACCCTTGATCTTAAAAATGTGCACTAGTGAACTATTGCACCATTTGTTAGGGATCGCCACGCCAAGAATTTATTAAAAAATCAATCTAGCCACTGGCAGCTATCTTCTCCTAATAATTTCCATACTTCTACTAATATACCACCTAATCCAAAGACTTTCCCATTTTTCATAGTTTTAGCTCTTTTCCTTACTTCATCCATACCAACCGCATTCACTACACCATTCTTTACCATGCCATCTTTTATAGCATCATTCCACTTCCTTTCTTCGTTTCCAAGTTTGTCAAAAAATGTTTGTTTGTTTTTATGTCGACCTCTTTCAAAATTTGCTCCGTATCATAATTTATGCGTTTTACATGCTTCATATTTTTCGCTCTTTTTTCTCTCATTCTTGTTATCCGGTATTGTTCTCTTTGACCAATAGGTTCATCAAGCGACATGTATATTTTATCTACGGTCCTTCTTCCAGATACTGCTCTTGTCTTTTTCCAATTTTTATAAATCATATTTTTCTCTTCTTTTAGTCGTTCATTCTCAATCTTTGTAAGCATTCTTCTTTTCTTTTAATAATTTTTATACGTCTTCACTCCACCACTGTCTATCCTTGTCTATCACAAGCTTTCTATTACTTTCTCGTAAGATATTTTGCTACTATTCTATTAGACTACTTTTTCAGCTCAACTTTCATTCACTATTTTTCCTTTCATATCATTAATACTAATTATCTTACCTACGATTTCTTTCTGGAATCTACTTGTACACTCATTGTTTTCTATTATTCTATTCCATCTAGTACAACTAGGTGGCGTGACACATTTCATATTTTTATTCTTATTTATATTATTAACAATCTATATGGCGTAACTAGATATTCCCTTGGTCCGGGTGTTTCCATGTATAGGACATATGTTACACTGCATGAAGTTATGAAAATTTTGAATGCAATGTAAAATAAAAGGCTGTGTGGTTATAACGTTATGTCTATATTCATTGATAAAAATATTATCGATATTTGACTGAAACCGTCGACATTTTTATTAAATCTATATTTTGACCGTGGTATCTTTCCTAACAAATTAAATGTATAGATCAAATATGACATTAATCGAATGTGGTGTGCTACAAGGTTCTATATTAGGGCCAATTTTGTTTCAGTCGTTTAGTACCCATAGTACAAGGTGTGGTCGGGTCTGTTAGGGTAGTTACCTGCGCGGTGATGAGTCCGGCGAGCCGTGCGGGCCGCAGCGAGTGCAGCGTGTGCAGCGCCACGCGCCGCCGCCAGCGAGGACTCAGCGCGCAGCACGCCGCCTCCGCCGCGCCGCCCGCCGCCCACACCCTGACACAGACACACACACACGTACCACGCGCCGCCGCCAGCGAGGACTCAGCGCGCAGCACGCCGCCTCCGCCGCGCCGCCCGCCGCCCACACCCTGACACAGACACGCGCAGCACGCCGCCTCCGCCGCGCCGCCCGCCGCCCACACCCTGACACAGACACACACACACGTACCACGCGCCGCCCACACCCTGACACAGACACACACACACGTACCACGCGCCGCCCACACCCTGACACAGACACACACACACGTACCACGCGCCGCCCACACTCTGACACAGACACACACACATGTATCATACAGACAGTCACATATCATACACACAGACAACCAGTTTTTGCGCGTGAAATGACGATAAATACACCAGAATACCATTTTTTACAATTTTTGTCTGTCTGTCTGTTTGTTCCGGCTAATCTCTGAAATGGCTGGACCGATTTTGACGGGACTTTTATTGGCAGGTAGCTGATGTAATAAGGAGTAACTTAGGCTACTTTTATTTTAGAAAAATAAAGTTAAATTCCACGCAGACGAAGTCGCGTGAACAGCTAGTGTATTATATATATAAACCATCCTCTTGAATCACTATATTTATTAAAAAAAACCGCTTCAAAATCCGTTGCGTAGTTTTAAACATTTAAGCATACATAGGGACGGACAGCGACAGCGACTTTATTTTATACTATGTAATGATCTGTGTTGGTGATGAATAAATGACTTACTTGTTGAAGAGCCTCCGGAGCGACTCCAGCATGGACCTGAGCAGGGAGAAGGAAGCGCAGGGCTGCAGGTCGACCTGCCGCGCCACCGACACCAGCTGCCGCATGGCCTCCGTGGCTGGTCTTCCACCCAACTCCTGACGGCACGAGGACTCCAGAGAGTCCAGACATCTGACATCCATCACCGAAGACTCCACAATTAATTAACCGATTTAATATTTTTTTATTAAATACTTTGTAATTTGTATAAAAATTTTGAATAATAAATGGTCGAGCGCAGATGGCTGGCTCATACGTCATACTCGTGAACGAGTGCTGCTTGTAGGGACTGGTCTGCTCTTATAACTACGACTGATTTAATCTTATTGCGTATTTATATTTGATCTTAATAAATTAGTGCTGGTTGGTAGTTTGTATTCACACGTTTCGACTTGTAAATGTGAACTTACAAGGATTATTTAAAAGAGCAACACACAAGTTTCTTGCTCGTTCTTCTTGTGATGAGACAACTTTCCGAATAAGCGGTAGATAAAAAAAAATAAGACTATTCAAAAGTGCTTAAATTATGTTTATTTGAATAAAGAATTTTCTATTTTTTCTATTCTATTCTTTAATTACAGTTAGCCCAGTTCTATTGCGTAACTAAAACAGATTGTTTATGTGCTCTTAAAAGACTAACTTACAAAAAAAAATTAATACAACAATAATTATTTTTAATTATAAAAATATTTTCAGATTCATGTATAAATTTTTTAGAGCCATACAATATAGGGGTTGGTGATAGTAGGGTGAAAATTTAGGGTTGTATACATTTTACCTACATCAATATAATAATTGCATTTAATAATGTCTAGTAAGACAAATTCAATATTGTCTACTAAGCACTGCCGTGTCTAAACTGTGTCACCCCACCTTACATTTTCCTATTGTTATGTATAATAATAATAATAATCTCAGGACAATTCACACAGCGCCATCTAGACTCAAGGTAAAATAGCTAAAGATTGTGTTATTGATACTAGATAACTGATACAAATACATAATTTTTTTTCGTACATATTATATATAGAAAAAACCCAGACCGATACAAACAATCATACTCATGAATATAAATGTTTGTGCCGTGCGAGGAATCGAACCCGCGACCATCGGACGTAAAGCGGTGTGTTAGACCGCTAGACCACCGAGGTAGTAAATAAGATCAATATTTCTATGTACATATTGTCAGTCAATTATCATCTGTAATATACATCGTCTCAACCAACAATATAGTATCATTTACCCGTAACAAATTATAAAAAAAGTGTCCAAAAAATAAATGTTACTGGTGGACAACCCTTATCACGTAAGGGTATAAAAAATAGATAGTACCCGATTCTTAGATCTACTGAATATGCGTATAAAATTTCATAAAAATCGGTCACGCCGTTTCGAAGGAGTATAGTAACTAACATTGTGACACGAGATTCTAAATATATATAACTCAAAGGTGACTGAGATAGTGATCTATCAACGCACAGCCCAAACCACTGGACGGATCGGGCTGAAATTTAGCATGCAGGTAGATGTTATGACGTAGGCATCCGCTAAGAAAGGATTTTGATTAATTCTACCCCCAAGGGGATAAAATAGGGGATGAAAGTTTGTATGAAACTTAGTCAATTTTAAACCGATCGGGCTGAGACTTGGCATGTATAAAGCTACTATGACGTAGGCATCCACCAAGAAAGGATTTTGATAAATTCCATCCCTAATGAGATAAATTAACGCGAGCAAAGCCGCGTGCAAAAACTAGTTCTATATATAAGAAGATTACTGAAAAAAAAACCAACTTCATTTATGTCACAATGAACTGGCTCATGATTGAAGCTTATATTTTGTAGCATGAAATTAATTATCACAGATTATCGTATATAAAATAATAAATTACCTTTGCAATGTTCCGAAGTACGAATCTCTGAGGCAATCGACAAATTTCACAAGCTTTAAGCTTATTTTGCGGCTTAAATTTGACAAAACTGAAACGAAACATAACAAATTAAAAAAACACTCCACACCAAAACTTCAATATTTCACAAATTGTTCTTGCTAGGTTTATTGAACTCGAGAGACTGCTTTGCGATTGAAATACGTGAGCTATAGTTGTAAAAACCCGTTAGCTACCGTTATTTAACTAAATGTATGGTTAGCTACTGCTAAAATGCGGTTATTAACTGTTAGTTATCCGACCTGAGACGAAGAAATTTAGTAAAATACAGTTTTTTATTGTGTAGTTTTTTATAAGGAATTTATCTGGTCTGTATTGAAACATTCTGGGATCATCTTCTGAATTCATCATCTTTATGATGCCTTTCATGGTCACGTTGCCTTTCATACCTAGAATTGAGAAAGGCTTGTTTTTGGAGTTTCTACTTGAGACTTCTTTTATTAACTTAATTTGTCTTTTGTTTGTGTTTTTTTTTATCAAATGAAAGTTGAGTTCTAGCTACTGAAAGAACGACGCATAAAATGCAGTTAATTAACCGTTAATAACGAAAACTGAATTTTTAACCGTTAACTAAAAAAACAATGTAATTTCTCACCTGTTTGTTGTACATCTAACGACGCCTCCTTTACAGATAGATTCCCAGAGTTGGTACACATGCTGCTGCCGTTCCAACTGAGGCTGGTCAGCGAGAATATCTCAGATTCATTCTCTATAAGTATCTGTCCGATTTGGGAATCGTTTGACGATTTGTTTTCAGGTTTTGACTGTGGATTGGAAATAGAAACATTTGTGTTACAGTCAAGTCAATTACCAAGCAATCTTATTATATTAGTTTTTTTTTCGGACTACTCTAGTGCTGTTGGCCACAGCTGGCCTTTAAAGCTTCACCGGACGATAGAGGGCGAGTGCAGATGGCACTCCAAACCCGCGGAAGGAATTATGGAGCGGCTGAAGGCCAACTCCTGCCTGACGGATACGACTTTAGTCTGAGGGCACCACTAGAGGTTCGAACCTCGGCTCAGGCCGTCGTAATTTCGATCCCCGTTTGAATTGGACGGGGGATCGATCGGAGGGGTATTATAGTAGGTTCTTCGGAAAGTAATTTCGTTTTTTCCTAAGTTAGGATTTAATTGCATTTTTTGCACTCAACTTCACATTAAGTGTGAAGTTGCAAAAAATACCGGCGAGTAACACAACACGTAAGATCGGATTGAGGTTAAATTTATCAAATTTAACAATTTATGACCACTTAAAAGGCCTGGGATGTTATAAGTGTTGTTGTTCGCAGGTTCGCATCCAACCAATGCCTTTATCAGCTTCAACCGGCCTTCCCGAGGGTGGTGGATCTTCGACATCAAAATTGCCGGAGTAATTAACTTGGTGTAAAGAATATCAGGATTATTGAGACTGAGAGATTGTAACTGTAAGTCTAATTTATATTTAACCGTGATTTCGTATTTATTAATATTGTAAGCATTTATTTGTCTTTTTGATCTTTTATTATTGGTATTTTTTTTTAGTCTGATTACTAAACTTAACAACTTGACCACAGTTATTTGAAGGAAGTTTATTTATTATTAATTTTTCAATATACTCACCAACTCTTTCAGTTACCAAAAACATTGTCAAGACAAGTAGCATTCGATGATGATGATGATGATGATGATGATGATGATGATATACTTACCCTAAATTGACTGAAACTGCTCGTATTAGTATTTAAACTCTCATCATTTGACTGTATAATTTCGTATTCATCGAAATTATAACTATCATATGACAAGGCTTCTTCGCCGTCCGACGGCGCTTGGTCTGGTCTCCCGGACGGTAGACTGGCGAGGCGGACGGACGCGCCCGGACGGTAGGACGAGTAGAAAGTGGAGTTAGAGACCATGAACTCTCTGTCCTGGTGGTAGGGCAGATCTGAAATATATCAAGCTTTTCAGAATATAACCAGTGCCCCGAAACGGTAACTAACAGTGACCATCACTGTCAAACTCCAAAACCTCTTTGGCTTGTTATTTACAATAGTTCAATTTTGTTATTTATATATCTAAATAAAATTGGAGTGTCTGTTTGTAACATTGAAATAACCGTTTTTTACTACATGCATATGAATATAAATACGGTACGTACACCAAAATATTTTTTTTACAATTTTTGTCTGTCTGTCTGTCTGTTTGTTCCGGCTAATCTCTGAAATGGCTGGATCGATTTTGATGGGACTTTTTTGGCAGGTAGCTGATGTAATAAGGAGTAACTTAGGCTACTTTTATTTTAGAAAAATAAAGTAAAATTCCACGCGGACGAAGTCGCGGGAACGTAACTAAATAATTGTTGTACTACTCAAGTTTGGTATATCAACCAAAACACAGCTTTGAAAATTTATTAAAACTATATTTTATCTTGGATTTTATTACCTCCTAAAGTTTGTTTGACACTTTTTCAAATATTTTCAGTGCTAAGAAATTGGAGTTGTTTTAAGTCTAAGCAAGCTACTTGGTGATTACAATCGGTTAAAACTGTAGTTATCTACGCAGAGGATATATTACAAAATGAACTTCGGTTCAAATTCACCACCAAATCACGAGGACGAAGATAGCCTATCTTGCACTTTTTCAACCACTACGATAGCAAACATACGGCCCATCGGATGGTAAAGGGTTACCGTAGCCTACAGATATAGTACAACAGGGGTGTCATGACACCTTAATATATACCCTTCTTAAAAACCCCATGCTATTTCTCGTGTGAAACCCCTGTAGTGAAACCACACTGTCCCTGACCACCTAGGTTCTAGCATGTGGGGATAAAGTCCCTGTATAAATGTATTGGTAGATCTGAACTGCTTACCGTCCACACTCCAGTCCATAACCTCGACCTCCGCCCGCATCTCCTGGAGGACCTCCTGCATGATCTGCACCAACTCCTGCTTCTTATCGCCCTCAGAGAACTTGCTGTTTATGGTCTGTCGCCGAAACAATAATCCTATTATTAATAACAACCAAAGACAATTCATACATCTCATCGCCATCTCATTCATTTCAATATAGAATTAATAATAATAATAATCTTAGGACAATTCACACAGCGCCATCTAGACCCAAGTTAAGCTTGCTAAAGCTTGTGTTATGGTCTAGATAACTGATACAAATACATAGATATATTTTTTTTTGTAAATACATACATATTATATATAGAAAACAAGACCGATACAAACAATCATACTCATGAATACAAATGTTTGTGCCGTGCGAGGAATCGAACCGCGACCATCGGTCATTCATTTGGACCACCGAGGTAGTCACACAATTTATCACACACAGCGGGCCAGAAGACGCAGCGTGGATTTGAGGTGATTCAAGAGGTTTATATATATGTACACCCATGCGAAGCCGGGGCGAGTAGCTAGTATAAGTTTAAGCTAGTATAAGTTTGTTACTATATCTAGAATTTTACACTAGCAAAACGAGATTTCACAGATTTTATTTTCCAATAAGGCGTGGGAAGGCCTCCAGCAAGGTGGACCGACGATCTGGTCAAGATCGCTGGTAGGCCTTTGTGGCTGGTGGATCTTTGGGGAGGCCTTTTTTTTAATTTATTTATATTCTAATTTTTTATTTCCACAGATAGCGGTCCGTGCCTTTGTTAAAATTAATTCGAATTTATTTTATTAACATTTTATGACCTTATTAACATTTTATGGAGACCTTTGTTCAGTGGACGTCTTCCGGGCTGAAATGATGATGATGGAAATAAAGTGTAACTACAAACCTCGTAGAGTTGGTGTTCTTGTGTGGCAACATATTGTATCTTCTTTGGCACGACTTGCAACTCTCTGGCTAAGTCAAACGACGCCAGTATAAACTGTTGTAGTAACCTCACGTGAACCTGTAAATATATACGATAAAAAATTAATTCTACGATTGTTAGAGGTCACGTCAATATTGTAGAAAAAGCCGATATTTTAAAAAGATATTAAAAGAAGGTAGTTTGTGTTTAGTACTAATGAAGTACCCAATGTAAAGATTATTACGAATATTGTAAATAACGCCATCTAGTATTTATGGACCGAACTAAGTTATCTGTCATATAACCATTACCCCCGCTTCTCTCCCTACTACACTGACTTCGGTCTATAAATACGGAGGTCAGTAGTTAAATAATGTCCCCTCCGATCGATCCCCCGTCCAATTCAACTAGGATCGATGTTACGACGGCCTGAGCCGAGGTTCGAAATCCAAGTGGTGCCCTCAGCCTAAAGTCGTATTCGACAGATGGGAGTTGGCCTTTAGCCGCTCCATAAGTCCTTCCGCGGGTTTGGAGTGCCATCTGCACTCGCCCCATAACGTCCGGTGAAGCTGTAAAAGCCAGCTACGGCCAACAGCATTAGAGTAGACCGAAAAAAAAAATAATTGAATAATCCTCTTTCGTTGGGTGAGCCGCGGCATTCAGTCGACGAGCGCAGAGCGTGCCGGTTGTGTTTTGGATACTGAAGTGAATTGTATTAGGAATGGGTTTATCCCGGTCTTAGTTGGGCCTGGGGGGAGGCTGCGAGTAGTGAAGGTGAGTGTTAATGCATTCTAAAAGGGCCTTTTAAACCTACACCCGTGTCACAAGTCACGGGCGTTACTTGAGGTTTCCCTTGCGGTAGCCGGCTTCAAAGTCTAAGTCGTCATCATAATTAGTGCTTCTTACAATTATTACTATATCTTACCTCGCTCAACCTCGTACTATACTCCAAAAGGTAACTCTGCATACATTCCGTGGCAAATTTGTATACGTTATTCAATAGTACTGTTCTATTTTTAACAACCCTATCTCCATTTTTACCCTTCGTCAAAGTTTCGCCGATAATATGCATGGAGTTGTTGAGGTATGATGCGTGAGATTTGTGGTTGACTGTATTTAATAGTTCTACATCATTTACGATTAAGTTTCGACTTTTAACGTAATGTTTTAGGGGTGGGCTAGCTGGAAAAAATACAAATTGTAAGTATATTTAATAAAAAAAAAAACAATAGTTAATTTTAAACTTTCGTGTTTAATATACATTATTTAAATTATTAACCGGGTCTTAACACCAATAATTTTATGGCAAATAAAGGTTTCTTTCAGTAGCATCAATAGTCAATAAGTGTGTGCTGTGTCACGGATACCGTGAGTGCTGTGTGTCGCGAACTTTCGTTAAACAATCTAGTGACGGTAGATGAAGAAAAAACTGCTGTCACCTATCTACATTGACATCGCTGTTACTCCAGTCAGCTCGTGACCACGGCTAGTGCAACCTAGTCGAAACGTCGAGAGGTAAATAACTTTATTTGCCATAAAATTATTCGTGTTAAGACCCGGTTTATAATTTAAATAAAAAAAACAATATTTTATATCATCCTATATTTCACCCCTTTCCTTTATTTTGAGGTACAAGATAGCCTATTTCCATCCTCGTGTATTTTCATACAAAATTTCATTTATATATGTTCAGCCGCTTGGCAGCGAGAAGGTAACAAACAGACAGACTAGATAGACCGAATTTTCTATTTGTTATACTAGTGGTTACCTTCTCATGAATACTATAGATACAAATTCAATAATTGACGACCTCTGTGGTCTAGGGGTTAGACGACTTACTTTCCATGATCGCGGGTTCGATCCCCGCACGGCACAAACATAAGTATTTTTGAGTATGATTGTTTGTATCAATCTGCGTGATTTCTATGTATTTACAGAACAAATATGTCTATAGGTATTTATATCAGCTCTAGTACCCATAACACAAACTGCTTAGCTTGGCACTAGATGGCGCTGTGTGAATTGACCAGATTACTTATTACAAGTTCAATACACATAAAATAAATCTTGAGTCAGCAATGAGCAGGTGACACCCCTGGTGTTTCAGGCGTCCATAGGCTACGGTAAACGTTTATCATCAGATGGGCCGTATGCTTCTTTGCCACATCATGTTCATCTTATCATCCTCCACTGGTGCCCCGCCAGCGTAAACCGTTAGCGCAGGCGCGTGGATCATTCCATTATCATCCATAAAAAAACCATACAGCTCATAGAGTTTCATGCGGTCGATCTATTATTAATTTAATATTAATATACTCACACAACAATTCCCATTGGTCTAATAAATCATTCATAAAACCGATCTGCTCCTCTTCCAGTCTTCTGTTCTCTATGCTCAATTTGCTTATTGGAGATTCTTGAGAGTGCCTGAAAATAAGAATATAATCTTATATATAACTAGCTGTCCAAACAAACGTTGTTTTGCCTTAAAATAAAAAAAAAATTAGGGGTGGACTACCGCTAACATTTGGGGGGATGAAAAATAGATGTTGGCTGATTCTGAATGAAAACTGTGACACGAGAATTTTATATATAAGAAATTCTCGTGTCACAGTTTTCGTTCCCATACTCCTCCGAAACGGCTTGACTGATTCTCATGAAATTTTGTGAGCGTATTGAGTAGGTCTGAGAATCGGCCAACATCTATTTTTCATCCTCCTAAATGTTAGAGGTAGTCCACCCCTAAATTTTTATTTTTTTATTTTTTAGAAAAATTTTTTAGTTTCTATTATTTTATGATACAACATACAAAAATACATACCTATCCTAAAATTTCACTCTTCTATTATCAACCCCTATTTTTTATAGCGTTATTACGGCTGGCAACGGCAGTGAATTAGGGTAATATAAATGAAATTACTTACCAAAATTATAGATGTATTTAGTGGTAGCGTATATGACAAAAACAATATAATAAAAAATATATGTCAAAAATTGTATATAAAAATATATGGTTTAAAAATAGAAATATCTATAAAAAGAGGTCTGTCGCCAACAAGCGTTATTAATTTATATGGCAAAACGTTTGCCGCGACAGCTAGTAATTTTATAATATCTCTCTTGCTTCATATAATATAGATATACAGCTCTACGTATTTCAGCTGCCAAGTAGCTAGATTTTTTTTTATACTGCTATGTTGGCAAACAAGCATACGTCCCATCTGATGGTAAACGGTTACCGTAGCCTATGGACGCTTGAAACACCACATGTGTCACGAAGTTGTGTGTGTTAAAAAACCTTAATATACCCTTTTTGAAAACCCCATGCTGTAGTCTCGTATGTGTGTGTGTGTAAGAAACAATGTGTGTGTATGTGTATAAAGATAATGATAGGTTGTAATTAACTTTTCGAATGTCTATCGTCTGTCGCAGCGATCGAAAGTAAATAGGCGATGTGTGCGTCTGCTGTTTTTACAAATGCGTTTCAATTTTATTTCGTTTTAAATAAGGACTAAATTGGTCCAAAAAATCACTGTTTTGCGGGCACAGATCTTTGACAAGACGGTAATACGGTTTAAGAGGGGTGCACAGATCTGTGTCAAAACGTTCGAAGGGTGTTCAAATTACACAAAAAAATGTTAACATTGGTTTGTCGTACCTTATCACGCCTTGCAACCCTTGGTCCGACTCTGGCAACTCTTCTACTCTGTATACTGTATCCTCAGTAGACTCGGTGGCTTCGTTTCTATCTCTTACACTCTCTTCTGGATCTGTGCTGTCCGAGAACAGAACGAAGAGCACCTGGCTGTTCTGGTTGATGTGTTTTATTTGGTGGAGGTCTAAGCAATTCTGGAATGTTCCAATGTGGGTATTAGCGTATTACTATCAGAAGAACATCAGTCTTTTTTCAGAGCAACACAATGATCTACTGCGACACTAAGCAGTTTATTTTTTTAATAGCTTTTTTTATGGATGATAATGTAATGGCGCACCCTAATAGTTGACACTGGCGGAGCACCAGTGGAGGATGATAAGATGAGCACAAGGTCAGGTCAGTTAGTACATCGCATTTAGCCCATCATGACAAATTCACCAGGAATATATCATGAGGGCTCCCAGAGGGAACAGGGTAGACTTGAACCTGACATGGTACATTGCTAGCAATTGGGTTAATACACGACGGTAGACTTGAACCTGACATGGTACATTGCTAGCAATTGGGTTAATACACGATGGTTTCCAGGGTGAATTGCGTGTAGTTCAATCTGACATGGGACCTAGCTAATGACGGGGTCAACAGTCCATATTACTATTGCTAGCAATGGGGTTAATACACGATGGTTTCCAGGGTGAATTGTGTGGAGTTCAATCTGACATGGGACCTAGCTAGTGATGGGTCAACAGTTACTATTGCCATGGGGTTATTACTAATTGACATGGGACCTAGCTAGTGACGGGGTCAACAGTCCATATTACTATTGCTAGCAATGGGGTTAATACACGATGGTTTCCAGGGTGAATTGTATGTGGTTCAATCTGACATGGGAGCTAGCTAATGATGGGTCAACAGTCCATATTACTATTGCTAGCAATGGGGTTAATACACGATGGTTTCCAGGGTGAATTGTGTGGAGTTCAATCTGACATGGGACCTAGCTAGTGATGGGTCAACAGTCCATATTACTATTGCTAGCAATGGGGTTAATATACGATGGTTTCCAGGGTGAATTGCGTGTAGTTCAATCTGACATGGGACCTAGCTAGTGATGGGTCAACAGTCCATATTACTATTGCTAGCAATGGGGTTAATATACGATGGTTTCCAGGGTGAATTGCGTGTAGTTCAATCTGACATGGGACCTAGCTAATGACGGGGTCAACAGTCCATATTACTATTGCTAGCAATGGGGTTAATACACGATGGTTTCCAGGGTGAATTGCGTGTAGTTCAATCTGACATGGGACCTAGCTAGTGACGGGGTCAACAGTCCATATTACTATTGCCAGCAATGGGGTTAATACACGATGGTTTCCAGGGTGAATTGCGTGTAGTTCAATCTGACATGGGACCTAGCTAGTGACGGGGTCAACAGTCCATATTACTATTGCTAGCAATGGGGTTAATACACGATGGTTTCCAGGGTGAATTGTGTGTAGTTCAATCTGACATGGGAGCTAGCTAGTGATGGGTCAACAGTCCATATTACTATTGCCAGCAATGGGGTTAATACACGATGGTTTCCAGGGTGAATTGTGTGTTCAATCTCACATGGGACCTTCAAACAGTCCAAATTACTATTGACATGGGGTTAATACACGAAGGTTTTCAAGGTTATTTGCGTGTAGTTCAATCTGACATGGGATAGCTAGTGACAACAGTCCATATTACTATTGCCAGCAATGGGGTTAATACACGATGGTTTCCAGGGTGAATTGTGTGTAGTTCAATCTGACATGGGAGCTAGCTAGTGATGGGGTCAGCAGTCCATATTACTAACAGTTCCTTTCCCCCATGTTTTTCATCCAATATATATATATATATATGTATATATATATTGAGCTCTATACATCTGTGACACGCATATTTATCTGTCACGGTATTTAAAATCTGTTTATCTCTTATAGGATTAAAGAAAATTAACTTATAAGTTTCCTATTTCGGACGAAATAGGAAACTTATAAGGACGAAATAGGTCGCCCTAACGAGATGGGGCTTGTCCTACACCATTTACAGAGCGAGCCAACGCCGGAGTCGCGATAAAATGGTAACAACCTCGGGACTCCAGCAATATCGCTCGTAGGTACACCGTGTTATTTTTCATGGGTAAGGGATACATCCCCTCACTATCCCTCCTGCGAGGGAGTTGTTTTTGTGATGATGTTTCCATGACGATGATGTTATAGAAGTTTCAAGAAAATTAAAAAAATTGTACAAACCTCAGCTGAGAAGACTGCAGCATCCCCGCCTCCCTCCAAAACCGTCTCCTGATCCCGCGCAACAGTCTTATCACTACTACTCGTTACGTTGTACAAATTGAACGTATTCCAAAAGTCCTCCTCACTTCGCGACGTCATCATAGAGCTGGGCATGAAGCTCTCACTGAAAACACTCTTCCCTATCTTGTCTATGGCGTACAAGTAGACCGGGTTAAAATTCTTTAGTATCACATGCCGCTTCGAGTACAGTTCGGAGTGGATTTCCTTTAAAGTTTGAAGATTGGACCCGCCCGGGTCGAGGATATCCGGGGGAACGATGATCCGGAGGCCGTCTTTGAGGAATGAATTGTTCAGTTCCACTTCTAGCATGGTGGCCTGGTCGGTTTGGTCTTGACGGAGGAGATCCTGAGAGACAGATGGTATCTTAAATATGATGTAGAACAGGTTTTGCCGTTTGTTTGTTTGTTTGAATTATTGAAGATAACTCAAAAACTACTGGTCTTTTGTAAGACTATCGAACTAAGAAAAAAAAATTCAACACATAAACAAGTTTGAAGTTTGTAATTTAAAATTTTCAAACTTTTTACTAAATACATATAAAAGTGTATATAAAAATATAATTTATAAAAAATATCTGTGTGCCTGTTTGTTCTTACTCATCTCTAAAACGGCTGGGTCGATTTTGACGGGACTTTGACTCGGAGATATCTAATCTTACAAGGAGTAACATAGACCACTTTAATTTCAGATATTTTAATGTGTTCACTAAAAAAAAAAGCGGGTAACTTCTAGTCAATAAAATTATTAAAAAAAGCTTTACGTAGAAAAAAAACAGTCGAAATAAGAATACCCTCATTTTTTGAAATCGGTTTAAAAAGGCTAAAAACTATGTACTTCTAGGTATGTAGAATATGTCATGGCCTCTTCAAGTCAATAAAATAAAACAAGCTTTACGTAGAAAAAAACAATCAAAATGAGAATCCTCTCTTTTTGAAGTTGGTTAAAAAAGGCGAAAACTATATACCTCTATAGGCTAAAATTCTATACCTCTATAGGTAGAGTATCCCACGGTCTCTTGTTGCATTCCAACTCCTCAACAAGTTCAAACTCAGAGTTCCCGAGCGTGAGATGCACTTGTGTCGAACTTCCATACTGGATTCGTAGCTGTAATAAGGCAGAATGCACCATTATTATAAATAAACTAGCTGTCCCGGCAAACGTTGTTTTGCCATATAAATTAATAACGCTATAAAAAAATAGGGGTTGATGATAGAAGGGTGAAAATTTAGGATGGTTTGTTGTATCATAAAAAAATAGAAACTAAAAATATTGTCTAAAAAATAAAAAAAAATTAGGGGTGGACTATCCCCAACATTTAGGGGGATGAAAAATAGATGTTGGCCGATTCTCAGACTTACTCAATACGCTCACAAAATTTCATGAGAATCGGTCGAGTCGTTTCGATTATGGGAACGAAAACTGTGACACGAGAATTTTATATATAAGTAATAAGAAAGATATTTTGTTCAGGTTACGAACACTGATTAGACTTTTTGCTTTTGCAATAGCATATGCTGGTGGTCATTCTATTCTCCCAAATTTGAATTTAAATGAATCTGCATTATTGTAAACATGTACAACATTTATTTGCACAGAATACGAGCTGAGTTTCTTGTCAGTTCTTCTCATCTCGAAATCATTCCGAACTGACGGTAGATTTGACATATCATAAGAGTCTGTAATAGATCTACATGAATAAAGATATTTTGAATTTGAATTGGAATTCTTAGGAGCGATAGTTTTTATCTCAGGATATGATGTAAACTTTCCAAAGGAGATATTTCGCTTATGCATGAGTGGGTTACAATCACATCGGATGTGAAGTGACATTTACTGTTCTGCTCGACAAATACTGTAGATTGTTGTTAAGTTGATTTTGCCAGTGTTTCTTCAATTTGCAGTGTCCAGTGAGGGCCCTAGTCATGATGCATATTGTTTTTACTCAATAGCAATAGTTTATCGGAGTATTGATTCCCTTTGTTATTAACTATCTCCATAGTTGCCAGTTACCACCTACCATCAGATTTTTTTCTATTATTATTCCATCCTGAATTAACCATTACTGAAATTTCCTTAACAGCTTATCCAGACACTAATTTCTCATAATCTCCTAACACAGCTGATCAGAGCTGTGTTCCAGACCCTTACCCATCGACAGCCTCTTGGTGTTGGATCCGGAAGCAGCTGTCTCCCCAGCAGGCAGTGCAGTAATCGGGCCCTCGCTGATGGGCTGGTCCCGAAAATGATGAGCGCTGTAGAACGAGCCGACAGGTTGCCGATTTCTTGGACAGTTACTGATATATCGGGGTCTGAAAAAAAATCAGAATAATATATATAAAAAAAATTTAAAAAATTTGGTGTCTGAAAAAAGTCAGGTAAATCGTGATAAAAAAAGAAAGGAAATTGAAAAACTTGAGATACCGAATCATAATTTGTACACAGTATAAAATTATAATTACGAAGTCACTGGGGTTTATTTATACTTCAATACCAATATTTTTTAAATTTAAGTACGCTGCGTATCCCGTGCAAGCTGCGAGTGCGTGCAGCGTCGCGGGACGCAGCCACTACACAGTACACAGTACACAGTACACAGCGCTACCTGTGGTGAGTATGTCGGCGACGTCCCGGAGCGCGCGCTGCGTGTCCCGCACCAGCCCGCGCAGGCTGCGAGTGCGAGCAGCGTCGCGGGACGCAGCCACTACACAGTACACAGTACACAGCGCTACCTGTGGTGAGTATGTCGGCGACGTCCCGGAGCGCGCGCTGCGTGTCCCGCACCAGCCCGCGCAGGCTGCGAGTGCGAGCAGCGTCGCGGGACGCAGCCACTACACAGTACACAGTACACAGCGCTACCTGTGGTGAGTATGTCGGCGACGTCCCGGAGCGCGCGCTGCGTGTCCCGCACCAGCCCGCGCAGGCTGCGAGTGCGAGCAGCGTCGCGGGACGCAGCCACTACACAGTACACAGTACACAGCGCTACCTGTGGTGAGTATGTCGGCGACGTCCCGGAGCGCGCGCTGCGTGTCCCGCACCAGCCCGCGCAGGCTGCGAGTGCGAGCAGCGTCGCGGGACGCAGCCACTACACAGTACACAGTACACAGCGCTACCTGTGGTGAGGATGTCGGCGACGTCCCGCAGCGCGCGCGCTGCGTGTCCCGCACCAGCCCGCGCAGGCTGCGAGTGCGAGCAGCGTCGCGGGACGCAGTCACTACACAGTACACAGTACACAGCGCTACCTGTGGTGAGTATGTCGGCGACGTCCCGGAGCGCGCGCTGCGTGTCCCGCACCAGCCCGCGCAGGCTGCGAGTGCGAGCAGCGTCGCGGGACGCAGCCACTACACAGTACACAGTACACAGCGCTACCTGTGGTGAGTATGTCGGCGACGTCCCGCAGCGCGCGCTGCGTGTCCCGCACCAGCCCGCGCAGGCTGCGAGTGCGAGCAGCGTCGCGGGACGCAGCCACTACACAGTACACAGTACACAGCGCTACCTGTGGTGAGGATGTCGGCGACGTCCCGCAGCGCGCGCTGCGTGTCCCGCACCAGCCCGCGCAGGCTGCGAGTGCGAGCAGCGTCGCGGGACGCAGCCACTACACAGTACACAGTACACAGCGCTACCTGTGGTGAGTATGTCGGCGACGTCCCGCAGCGCGCGCTGCGTGTCCCGCACCAGCCCGCGCAGGCTGCGAGTGCGAGCAGCGTCGCGGGACGCAGCCACTACACAGTACACAGTACACAGCGCTACCTGTGGTGAGTATGTCGGCGACGTCCCGGAGCGCGCGCTGCGTGTCCCGCACCAGCCCGCGCAGGCTGCGAGTGCGAGCAGCGTCGCGGGACGCAGCCACTACACAGTACACAGTACACAGCGCTACCTGTGGTGAGGATGTCGGCGAGGGCGTCCCGCAGCGCGCGCTGCGTGTCCCGCACCAGCCCGCGCAGGCTGCGAGTGCGAGCAGCGTCGCGGGACGCAGCCACTACACAGTACACAGTACACAGCGCTACCTGTGGTGAGGATGTCGGCGACGTCCCGCAGCGCGCGCTGCGTGTCCCGCACCAGCCCGCGCAGGCTGCGAGTGCGAGCAGCGTCGCGGGACGCAGCCACTACACAGTACACAGTACACAGCGCTACCTGTGGTGAGTATGTCGGCGACGTCCCGCAGCGCGCGCTGCGTGTCCCGCACCAGCCCGCGCAGGCTGCGAGTGCGAGCAGCGTCGCGGGACGCAGCCACTACACAGTACACAGTACACAGCGCTACCTGTGGTGAGGATGTCGGCGACGTCCCGCAGCGCGCGCTGCGTGTCCCGCACCAGCCCGCGCAGGCTGCGAGTGCGAGCAGCGTCGCGGGACGCAGCCACTACACAGTACACAGTACACAGCGCTACCTGTGGTGAGGATGTCGGCGACGTCCCGCAGCGCGCGCTGCGTGTCCCGCACCAGCCCGCGCAGGCTGCGAGTGCGAGCAGCGTCGCGGGACGCAGCCACTACACAGTACACAGTACACAGCGCTACCTGTGGTGAGTATGTCGGCGACGTCCCGGAGCGCGCGCTGCGTGTCCCGCACCAGCCCGCGCAGGCTGCGAGTGCGAGCAGCGTCGCGGGACGCAGCCACTACACAGTACACAGTACACAGCGCTACCTGTGGTGAGTATGTCGGCGACGTCCCGGAGCGCGCGCTGCGTGTCCCGCACCAGCCCGCGCAGGCTGCGAGTGCGAGCAGCGTCGCGGGACGCAGCCACTACACAGTACACAGTACACAGCGCTACCTGTGGTGAGTATGTCGGCGACGTCCCGCAGCGCGCGCTGCGTGTCCCGCACCAGCCCGCGCAGGCTGCGAGTGCGAGCAGCGTCGCGGGACGCAGCCACTACACAGTACACAGTACACAGCGCTACCTGTGGTGAGTATGTCGGCGACGTCCCGGAGCGCGCGCTGCGTGTCCCGCACCAGCCCGCGCAGGCTGCGAGTGCGAGCAGCGTCGCGGGACGCAGCCACTACACAGTACACAGTACACAGCGCTACCTGTGGTGAGGATGTCGGCGACGTCCCGGAGCGCGCGCTGCGTGTCCCGCACCAGCCCGCGCAGGCTGCGAGTGCGAGCAGCGTCGCGGGACGCAGCCACTACACAGTACACAGTACACAGCGCTACCTGTGGTGAGGATGTCGGCGACGTCCCGCAGCGCGCGCTGCGTGTCCCGCACCAGCCCGCGCAGGCTGCGAGTGCGAGCCGCCAGCCGCCGCGACCACACGCAGCCGCCCGCCATCGCGGGGTCTTACCACGGGGGCCGCCCACATGCGACGATGATTCCTTCTGGAAATAAAAAAAAAATAACATCATTAATTTTTTTTTTATTTTGTATTTAAAAATATTTAAGATTTATTTTTGTATTCCTTTATGTACACAACTGCAAATGTACTTATAACGTTAACAGAATGTTGGAGGGAACTGACTTTCGTGGCACAGGTTCACCTATATCGAAAGCCAGAGCTAACTGTATTTATCTGTACCATACAGTTATGAATAGAGATTATTATTCAAATACAAATTCAAAATATCTTTATTCATGTAGGTCTATTACAGACTTTTATGATATGTCAAATCTACCGTCAGTTCGGAATGATTTCGAGATGAGAAGAACTGACAAAAAACTCAGCTCGTATTTTTTTTTAATGTTGTACATATTTACAATAATACTATTTCATTTAAATTCAAATTTGCATTTTTGTCGCAATTTCTCAGCTTTTGCTGTTTTTTTTCACACTTACGGGCCAAAACCAAGTAAGTGCAGTATGTGTGTGTATGTGTGAGTGTGTGCGTGTATGTATGAGCGTGTGTGTATTATGTGACTGGTGTTATTATTATTATTATTATTATTATTATCATCACTATCGTCTCACTCTCTCAGCTTTTATTTATATTATTAATGTTTTAAGTTCTGAATAAAAACCAGGTTATTACGAGTTCAGTTTCGTTTACAAACATTTTATAAATCCATTTCAGTTCAAATTTGTGTAAAAAAGTCTGAGTGAGTTAAGCCCCCCCCCCCCCCTTTACCCCTTCAAAAAAGTCCCAAACCTTGCGTCGTATCCATTGTAGCAATCAACTAGAAATAGAAATAATCTTTATTCAAATAAACTCATATATTTATTCTACCATTCATTCGGAATGCAGATTCATCACAAGAAGAATGAGCAAGAAACTTGTGTGTTGCTATTTTTAATAGAACAATATCGTGGAATTTAACGTTATGTTTTTTAAAATTTTAAGAACTAAAAAATATTTAGTGCATCTTAATTTATTCGTTCCATTTGGTACAGATAGGTTCAAACTAATACATTTATATCCTGCATCATCCCTTATTTTATTCCCATGATACAAAATGTTTAAGTCTTCATCATAGTAGCTCCAATCTTTAATTTCAGTTCAATCACTCGAAAATCTAAGAAGATTTATACATCATCCTCTATACCCTATATATAGGAGATGAAAGATGAAAAAATCGAATCGACCACCGTGTATAATATATATGATTTTTTTTTGTAAATACATACATATATACACCCAGACCGATACAAACATTCATACACATGTCTTATCGTTAACACAATCTACAAACAATTATTTACGCATGAATACAAATGTTTGTCCGTGCGTGTAGGAAACGTGGAATTAGCGTGTCTCTGTCTAACAACCGTCAATTTGCATCTTGCTATCCACCGCCTCGTAAATATATGAAAATTGCAGGTATTCTCCACACATTCTTTTTTTTTATGGTGATAATGGACAAGCGTCCGCCTGCGCAACGGTTTACGCTGGCGGAGTCACAAATGATTCATGAGCATGAAGTCAGATCAGTTAGCCCAACGTGACAAATTCACCGGGAATTTATCACGACGGTTTCCAGGTGAACCGCGTGGAGGTCGACCTGACTGGTACATTGCTAGCAATGGGGTCATGAGTCCACATTACTAACAATCCCCTTCCCCCAATATTAGTACTAATTTGATAATGGTACTCTACCATCACTGGCTGTCCCGGCAAACGTTGTTTTGTCATATAAATTAATAACGCTATAAAAGAATAGGGGTTGGTGATGGAAGGGTGAAAATTTAGGGTTATAAGTATTTTTTGAAGACATAAAAAAAATTGCCCAAAAAATAAAAAATAAAATATATGTGTGGACAACCTTTATCACTTAGGGGTATGAAAAATGAGAAAGTAGCCGATTCTCAGACCTACTGAATATGCATATAAAAATTTCATAAAAATCGGTCAAGTCGTTTCAAAGGAGTATGGTAACTAACATTGTGACACGAGAATTTTATATATATAATATATGTAACTCAAAAGTGACGTAGTGATCTATCAACGCACAGCCCAAACTATTGGACGGATCAGGCTGAAATTTGGCATGCAGGTATATGTTATGACGTAGGCATCCGCTAAGAAAGGATTTTGATTAATTCTACCCCCAAAGGGATAAAATAGGGGATGAAACTTTGTATGAAACTTTGTCAATTTTAAACCGATCGGGCTGAGACTTTGCATGCATAAAGCTATTATGACGTAGGCATCTCCTAAGAAAGGATTTTGTTAAATTCCACCCCTAAGGGGATAAATTAACGCGAGCGAAGCCGCGGGCAAAAGCTAGTATAAGATAAAGAGGTAGGTACATGTGGTAGAGTTACGAATGCTCAGATAGATGTGAGGGATTATTTTTAATGGAGGAGAATGAAATGGATATGGATAAAATAAGAACTGAAGAAGTACTGCAAAGGGTTAAAGAAAAGAGATCTTAAACATTATTGAGAATAGGTGTGGAAAAATGTTGGGGCACTTGATACGACAGGACGAAGTAGCTGTACCCGCAACTTCGTCTGCGTGGAATTTAACTTTACTTTTCTAAAATAAAAGTAGCTTATGTTACTCCTTATTACAACAGTTACCTGCCAAAAAAAGTCCCGTCAAAATCGGTCCAGCCATTTCAGAGATTAGAACAGACTGACAGACAAAAATTGTAAAAAAATATATTTTTGTGCACATACCGTATTTATATTCATATGCATGTAGTAGAAACGGTTATTTCAATATTACAAACAGACACTCCAATTTTATTTATATGTATAGGTATATAAAGTATCGAAGGAAAAATAGATGGAAAGAGAGGAAGGGGAAGACCAAGACACAGCTATATCAAGCAGAATAAAGAAAAAGATGGAGTCGTGTTGAATCAATAACTAAAAGAATTGATGGAAGATTCATGTAGATCTATTACAGACTTATGATATGTCAAGTGACGGTCACTTCGGAATGATTTCGAGATGAGAAGAACTGACAAGAAACTCAGCTCGTATTTTTTTCTAATGTTGTACATATTAATAGAATAGAATAGAATTTTTCTTAACTCGTTTTTACAGTAATAACATAAGAAATACAAGAATAATTTACACATTAAAAAACGGAGTCAATGTGGACCACAACTCAGCATAATGCTGGAAATAGTTTCCAGCGCTGATTAACAGTAATACTATTTTATTTAAATACCAGCTTGTATTCTATTCAAACAAATGTTATACATATTTACAATTATACATATTCATATCTATATTACAATGATATCTTTTGTCTATAAATTAGCAGACGAATTCGCGGGAAAAAGCCAGTATTAGTACAGATGACAAGTGTTCTTTATCAGAATCATGGAGAAAGGTTAACGCATCCTGTATTAGATAATGATGTTGAATTAGAATGTTTGTTTACAAATGAGACACTAATTACGTGTGGCAGCCGGTGAATTGAAATAGAAATAGAAATAATCTTCATTCAAATGAAGTTCTGGAGTAAAGAAAATCCCCTCTGATCGATCCCCCGTCCAATTCAAACGGGGATCGTATTCATGAGTATGTTTGTATCGATCTGGGTATTTACCATGTATAATGACATATTGTAAATTAAATAATGTAAATTTAATATTGTAATGGGTGAAAACTGTGATCGGTACAGCCTATGCTGTAAATAATATAATTAACGTAGTGGAGTAACCTGAAACAGTCATGCTCGCTGAAACTTGCCGAGGTTCGAACCCCATAGTGGTGCCCTCAGACTAAAGTCATATCCGTCAGGCACTATTATTTGAAAAAATTACGAGCTGAGTTTCTTGTCAGTTCTTCTCATCTCGATATCATTCCGAACTGACGGTAGATTTGACATATCATAAGAGTCTGTAATAGACCTACATGAATAAAGATATTTTGAATTTTGAATTTTGAATAATATTTAGATGGAAATTACGACGGTTTGAAGAGAGGTTCTTCAGCTGTTCCATAAGTCCTTCCGCGGGTTTGGAGTGTCATCTGCACTCGCCCCCTAACGTCCAGTGAAGCTGTAAAGGCCAGCTGCGGCCAACAGCATTGGAGTAGTCCGAAAAAAAATGATTGTATATTATAGTACAGTTTGTTTTTTTAATCTCGGAGGCTAAATTAGCAGATAAGCAAGGCAAGCGGCAATCAACATAGAAACCGCTACGCACTCATTCTTTGTTCAATTGTAGCTGTGACGTGGTCGAGTGGAATGAGTAGTCATGCTCACTAAAATGTCCAGACATGTGGCGGCGTGGTGGGCCGGGTCATTGGGCTCCCTAAAATATGGTCGAGCGCAGTGATGGCTGGCTCATCCGTCATACTCGTGAACGAGTGCTGCTTGTAGGGACTGGTCTGCTCTTATCACTATGACTGATTTAATCTTATTGTATATTTATATTTGACTCAAAAAAATTCGTGCTGGTTGGTAGTTTGTATTCACACGTTTCGACTTGTAAATGTAAACTTACAAGGATTATTTAAAAGAGCAACACGCAAGTTTCTTGCTCGTTCTTCTTGTGATGAGACAGCTTTCCGAACGAGCGGTAGATTAAAAAAAATGTAATGACTATTCAAAAGTGCTTCAATGTAAGTTTATTTGAATAAATGAGTTTCTATTCTATTCTATTCAATCAGATAACATTGTCAGCGCTTATACTTATAGAACAAAAAAATGCTTATAGTATACCAATAATCTAATAATAATCTCAGTACAATTCACACAGCGTCATCTAGACCCAAGTTAAACTAGCTACAGCTTGTGCTATAGAGGTACTAGATAACTGATACAAATATATAGATATACATAGAAAACAGCCAGACTGATAGAACCAATAATACTTATGAATACAAATGTTTATGCCATGCGAATTGAACCCGCGAAAAAAATTATCTAGGTATTTATATCAGTCGTCTAGTACCTAATACAAGCTCTGCTTAGCTTGGTACTAG